CCCACCTCCTGCAGCTCCATGCCCCCTCCAAGGGAGCTGCTTCCTTGGCCTTATTTGCAGAAGGGATAATTGAAGCTAATTTCTTGGCAGAGAAAAGAGAGAGGAGCAATAAGCAAATGCAAAGCCGCTGCCAAGGGTACATCAGAGACCTCCTCCCTCATTCTGCCATATTGATGTGGACACTTGGCTGCTTTTCATCTCCTCTCTGGCACTGTCAGAGTGCCTTAAATGTCGCCCAGGTCATCTTAATTTATCACATATGCTCTTCCCTGGCCCTTCTTCCCTAATGTACAAACTTCTCGTCCTCCCATATATGCTGGGAAGCCTCACATGCTGTCATCAGTCCCTGTGTTTCCAGTCAGTTCAGCTCAGTAGGTTGTTTGATTTTATTAACAGCTCATCCCTTAAATGCATCGCTATTGCTCTTGATTTCTGAAGGAGAAGAAGGGAAGATGATTTGTCTGTAGAAAACTGTTCAAGGAAACCACAATTTCTCCCTGTCGCTGCTGGTAACTGAGATGCACTGTGCTTTCTGGGCAGCATCCGTGAGAACAGAGTGGATCTGGTGCTGATATGTCACTGGCCACTGTGTTGGAGAGAAAAAAAATACATGGAAATTAATGGCTTAACAAAGGGAAACTAAATCAAGTGCTTTGTTAATCCAAGGATTTAGCTAGCACAACTGTCCTCTGACAAAGCAGAAATGTAAGAGTGAACCCTCTCGTGGCACATACAAATCCCATAGGAATCAAGACCAAAAAGGCAGCAAAGCATTGTGGCACCAGCATCACATACTCTTAAAGAGCGCCCATATAGAAACAGCTGGGCAGTGCAGAAATGCACCTGAATTCTCTTTATTGACTGTGTAGTTGATGTGCAGTATTGATCTCTGTCTTGAGCATCAGTATATACACACCTGAATTAACTGCAGGAGTGTGGAGCATTGCCTTTTGTTCCAGCTCTGTAAAACACTCCATGATGAACTGCTTGGTTATGAGATTTTCTTGCTGGAAATTCCATCTCTGAGTGCTCACCAAAACCTGAAGTGTCTTTTTTGTTTTTCCTATTGGAAAGCTTTAGCAAAATCCAAAGGAAATTTGTAGTTAAGTTACAACAGGATTTGATGTTTCAAAGTCGTGGTAATTCAAACCAAGGGTACCAACTCAACCATCCAAAACTTGTAAGTTAAATGTGTAAAGTGGCTGCAGATAGGTTTGTATGTCTGTCTCTATATTAGATAAATGCTTTTAGATATAAATGAGTCTGAAAAAATACTGGCTGAAAAACAGTATGGGAATCAAAGGTCTAATTTTCAGAGTTAAGGTTGGATATTCAATTGATTTGAGTTGTTTTTTTTTTAATATATCCTTATCATTAAACATTTAGCTTTGCAAATTTAATGAAGACAAACACATTCTCTGAAGGAAGCATCCCAAATAGCAACAGTTTGCTTCAAGCTTTCTTGAGCACTTGCTAACAGTAGGTTGAAAATTAAATTACTGGAATCCACGAGGACACTTTAAAGTCCTCTTTAAAAGGGAGCTGCTTGCTGAAGGCTGTCTCTGTTATAGGTTTCAGCTTGTGTGAAAGGGAGTTGAGGTTTCTGCAGCCGAGGATCTGTATTTCAAAAAGAAGCGACCCAACAATTAAATGTATTTGCTGTGCTTTTGGCACGACCTTCTGTTCTTGTGTAAGAGAGAGTCAGAAGTACATTTATCCCAACAGCGTTTTGGAGTATAGAAAACTTTATTCATATTCCTCCCAGGGGTAAAAATAGGAAATACACTAAGCTTTGTATTACGTAGATTCCATTTTTTTTCCAGCCTGCTTGGAAGCACTGTATTATTCATGTACAGGCTGTCCATCCAGAGCAGTGCCAAACCCTTTTCTCTTTGCGTGTGGGAAGGCAGCAGAGTTGTCCCTGTGAGCAAACCCAGCTTCTAAGCATGGTTGTGGGCAGTGCTATGTTGGTGACTCCACATTTGACAGCTCTCAGATTATGATTCACAAACATGTGCTTTCTCTACTGTGCTTTGTGAAGCTAGTGAAGGTAGAAATTCACCAAATGTTTCATTTCTTAACTTTTCCGAGTAATCGATGCATTTGATAGTGTAAATCACAAGGAGTGGTTCAGCTTGGGTGGGAAAAACACCTCAGTGAAATGCCTTCGGCTCCCCAGGAACAGAAGAGGACATCTGAATGCACGTAGGTGGTAGAGCTGAGCGAGGTGTTTCACGCCTCTTGTAAAAGCCAGTAACGGGTTTTGTTTGAATGAACGATCCCAGAATCATGGAATCACTGAGGTTGGAAAAGATCTCAAAGATCATCTTGTCCGACTGCCCTCCTACCACCAGTGTTGCCCACCATGTCCTTAAGTATCGCATCTCCATCTTCTTCAACACCTCCAGTGACGGTGACTCCACCACCACTCTGGGCAGCCTATTACAGTGCTTGAACATTCTTTTGGAGTACAAGTTTTTTCCTACTATCCAACCTGAACCTCCCCATGCACTGCAGAACAAAAAATGGTCAAACCTGGCTATGAGCTTGACCACCCAGTACAGCCGTGGGTTGGAACTTTGGTGAGTCACAGAATCACAGAATCACAGAATTGTAGGGGTTGGAAGGGACCTCCAGAGATCATCGAGTCCAACCCCCCTGCCAAAGCAGGTTCCCTACAGCAGGTCGCACAGGTAGGCATCCAGGCAGGTCTTGAACATCTCCAGAGAAGGAGACTCCACCACCTCCCTGGGCAGCCTGTTCCAGTGCTCCGTCATCCTCACTGTAAAGAAGTTCTTGCGCATGTTTGTGCGGAACTTCCTATGCTGCAGTTTCCAGCCATTTCCCCTTGTCCTGTCTCCACTCACCACTGAAAACAGTCCGGCCTCGCCATTCTGCCCCCCACACCTTAGATATTTATAGACCTGGATCAGGTCCCCTCTCAGTCTTCTTTTCTCAAGGCTGAACAGACCCAGTTCACTCAGCCTTTCCTCATAGGAGAGATGCTCCAGGCCCTTCACCATCTTCGTGGCCCTCCGCTGGACTCTTTCCAAGAGATCCTTGTCTTTTTTGTACTGGGGAGCCCAGAACTGGACGCAGTACTCCAGATGAGGCCTTACCAGGGCAGAGTAGAGGGGGAGGATCACCTCCCTCGACCTGCTGGACACGCTCTTTTTAATGCACCCCAAGTCACTCAGTCACTCAGCCTGTCCCCACTACCCAAAACTTTGCTGCCTGTCACTGATATCTTAGAAATGCTCAGGCAGGGAAGCTTGTTAAGACCTTCCCAGAAGTGCACAAAGGATTTAATCTATTTCCAGTCACCAGAAAGTCTTATTAAGCCCATCTTATGGAGAGGGAGACCAGCTGAATTACCGCTGCCATATTGCACTGGAGCTGGAGATAAACTCATAGAATCACTGAGGTTAGAAAAGACCCATGAGAAAACCCAGTCCAGCCATCAACCCATTCCCAATGTGCCTACTCAAAGAGTCACAAAATCATTAAGGTTAGAAGAGACCTCCAAGGTGACAAAGTCCAACCCCACCATGCCCACTAAACCACATCCCTCAGTGCCACATCTCCACATTTCTTGAACACCTCCAGGAATGGTGACTCCGCCGCTTTCCTAGGCAAATAAAGCAAGATGTTACTGTGTCTCAGTCCTCGAACACAGCCAATAGGCAAATTTCTCTCTGAAACTGTAGTATCCAGTATACAGCCTAAAGCAACGTATTTTCTGTAGTCAGAGAAGAAAATCGTCCAAGATAGTTTTTTAATGAAGGCTACTTTTACTTATTTACTTATTTATTTATTTTGCCACTAATGGATTCCATTGAGCAACTTAAAGCCATTTCAGGGTTGTTTTTTTTTCCTCAATGACAGTGAAGTCCCACAAATCTAGTGAGATGCTGGCAGTAAAGCTGCTTAGATGGTATATAAAATGCCACTGATGGGATTATTTTGCTGCAGTTGGTTGCAGCTATTATGCTCAGCAGCATGATTCCTCATTGTAAGTTCATAAAGGAGCTAATGACAGGAAGTGAAGTTTTGCAGTGTTGAACGAAAGTGGAATGCAGATGCCTAAAAAGAGCAGCTAATGATGGGAACAGTGTACTGAGCACCGTGGTAAGCATGCTGCCTTTCAATAAAACACACTTGGTTTCATCCAGGGGCTACTGTAAATAGATGGTGGAGCTGTCACCTGATTTTCTCCATCCTAATGGCACACAAAAAGTCATGAAGGAAGAAGGCTCCTCTTGCCTGCAAAAGCAATGGAGATGCTTTGGTATTTTGCCAGACGAAGTGCTTCATGAAGACGAGTATTATAAAGCTAAATCTCAGTGCAATAGATGGAGCATGAGATGGAGTGAGTGGCAACGCACCTTGAAAGAGCTTTTTCAGTTTCTGTGCGGTGAGCACATTTGTCTTGGTGGTCATTTTTCACCAGCTGTTATCTGTAGAGGCAAAATAACGCACTGACTAATATTCAGAATCATTTCTCTGTCTGTTTGTCGTGATAAGCCACCACACTTTGCAGGCGGTGTATTTTGATGTATGTACGAAAAAGATTGACGCAGGGACTAGAAGAGCTGATTTACAAGGAGAGGTGAAAAACACCACGAGTGAGTTATTTGTTATATACCGCAAGGAGGTTCTGAAATCACCTGCATGTGTGGGAAGGGTGTAAATGCTGGGAGAAAAGAGCGTGGGAATTGATTGGGATGAAGTTTGAGAACGAAATGAAATTCGGAGATTGTGGGTAAAGGGAGAATGGTAGACAAACATTGCCCGAGACAGAGGGGGTCAGGATCTGCACAATATGATGTGTTTTGTTCACTTTGATGAGATTTGTTAACCTTCACAAGGTGAGCTTCCTGCGATGCTGCCCTGGGGGTGTTTTGCACTGAATGGTTTGACCTTCTCCATGGTGGAACCAGTGTCTCCCACTTGGCTGACCTGTGCTGTCTGTCTGAGGGTGGCTTTGCTTTGAATTTCAGGGCTGCTTTCGGCAAAGAGTCAGAAGTTCTCATTGGCAACCTGGGAGATAAACTCATCCCCCAACAGGAGATCCTGCGGGATGTCAGCGACCTCAAGGCTTTGGCCAACATGCACGAGAGCCTGGAGTGGTTAGCAGGCCGCACCAAGACAGCCTTCTCCAACCTCTCAGCTGCCCAGAGTAAGTACAGAAGCACAGAATCACAGAATGGAGTGGGTTGGAAGGGACATCAAAGCCCATCCCTTTCCAGCCTCCTGTCATGGGCAAGGACACTTCCCATAGACCTTGTTGCCCAGGGCTCCGTTCATGGAATGGGACTCTGATCATCTTAGTAGCCTACCCTGGACCTACTCAGTGATTTACTTGTGCTGGAGGCCCCAGTCTTGGACACAGTATGACCTCACAAGGGCAGAGCAGAGGGGGACAACCACTTCTCTGCCCTGCTGCCACCCCTCTGCTGATGCAGTCCAGGATGCACTTGGCCTTCTGGGCTGCAAGCACACATGTAGCTCCTTTGTCATAGAGCTGGAAACCAGCATAATTATGTGATTTTTTAGCAGGAGGGAGCATCTTGACTTCTTGATTTCAAAGGTGGCTTATGTCAGAGGAGAGCAGAAAGCAAAGCAGCTCCATCTCTTTCTTCTTGGTGAACGTGTGGTGTGACATCTCTCAGCCTGTGGTGCCAGGGTGCCAGGAGCATCACTTCTAGCAGAAGCTCTGATGGGTCTTTCAAGGCTTGAGCTTTTCAGCAATCCCTGCTAATGACACTCCACAGTGCTGAGACAGGTTTCAATTTCTTTCAAGCGTTGCTAGTTCACTGAATATTTAAAAATATACGTATTATAAATTCAGTGGAGAAGCTGAGCAGCTCTTAACGAGGAATACCCTAATGTGCGTGTCACTGGGGCAGTGCTGCTCAGTCTGCAAAGGGAAAAGCAGCCCCTGGTGAACCAGGGGGCAGAAAGGGCAGAGCCAAGGGAGCCTGGAGATGTCACTTCTGCTCCTGGCTGTCAGGGATTGCTGGTGCTACCTTTGTGAGATCATTTTACTTCTCTTTGCTTCAACTTTCAGTTCTTTCCCTCTGAGATTAGTTTTTTTTTTCCGTCTGGGAAGTGTCAGAGACGTGATCGGTGTTGCTTCTTCTCTTATCACCATCATTGGCGTTGTGTGCATAGGGTCACCACAGGAGGGTTGTGTCTGTGTCCAGAAGTGGAGCTCAGCATAAACAGAGCACAGCTCTGCTGCTCCGACAAAAGCACATTAAGCTGTTTTAATCACACACACACACAAAAAAAGCTGTTTATGAATAATATTCCATATGCAGTATGACAGAGCTGCTGTTTGCACATCGCTGAGTGCCTCAGTGTAGTGAATGTCAATAGATGGTGTTCAAAATGCAGCATCGTACCAGAGGTGATGTCTTTGACCTAAGAGCTGCCGCTGTCACATTTCATAGCAGCAGCAAGGCAGCCCATGGGATGCAGGTAAGTGTGATTATTACTCTTCCCCCTTGTTTAAAATCAGTAGCTCATCAGCCCTCCAGCAGTGCACTCTCCCAGTCATCCTCTGGTTGCTTAAAACAGACTTTTAGATAAGAGAAAGACTTTATCAATACCATACACTTTTATCAATTACACAATGTTTTGCTTATATGTTAAGCAACAGATCTCCTTATATGTCTTATATCTCAAAAGGATTCACCTTTCGCTGAGCTGACACAGAACTAAGCTCTTCTTAGGACCAAGGGTTTGCATCTCAGCTGCCTATCAAGACATTCCCAATAGTTGTCCTCTACTAAATGTTCTCCCAGGGGAGGAGCTCGTGCATTTTTTATAGCATTTCACATTTCCTTAGATCCCTATAATGTATCACAGTGAATTTTACAAATACAGAATCGTTAAGGTTGGAAAATACCACTAAGATCATCTAGTCCAACCATCAGCCCATGGCCACCATGCCCACAAGCATTCCATTGAATATTGTCTGCGTGCAGCTTATCTGTAGGAAGAAGCATCTTTATCATTGTAATACTATGTCATAGATTCAATTATTGAAGAGAATCAGTAATAATTGATAGTCTGGGTTATACATGCCCATTTTTGTAGCTGTTGATTTAATCGTAAGTGTCCAGGTTAGGTTAATCAGTTAGGTTAACAGTATCTTCATAGGTCCATATGTCAGACATGCTGACTTTTGCCCATCTTAAACTTTTGTGTAACAAAACAAAGGTAGGAGAGTCCAAAGCAGCTTTCTAGCAGTCCAACACCAACTCTACTTGGAGGAGACCCCATAATTGTTCTTAACACAGTATGAAATCAGCATGTTTTGCAAACTTCTTCACCTGCACCCACCAGCCACGCTGGCCATCTCTTTGGGAATGATCCAGAGAAGATCAAAGCACTAAATAACAAATTCCGCACCGCTTCTTAGGGCACCAGGACACATGGGAAGATGGTGAGGACACCATCCTGAACTTTCTATGAAGTCTGCTGTACAAATGCAGGCTCTAGGAGAGCAGAGTATTGGGGGATGCCTCCCAAGGACTAAGGGCACTGAAAAATCACTTCTGGGAAAATGATGAGGGAAACCTGGCAGTGCTGGATAGGAAAAATCATGGTGTTATATCTCAGTTAAAATAGTTGCCCCTTGACAACACTGCTTTTCTATGACAGTATTAGGATTTGTTTGACTCTCTAAGAGGGCATCGTCTGGTTGAGTGACAGTCCTTCCTATGGCTTATAACTTGGCATAAAGCAGGACCTCTGAACTCTTTACTCTAGCTGTCCCTGACCCAGAAGGATAATTAAGATTTTACAATCAGCTGACAGTTAACAAAATAAAACAGGTAGTTTTACTATTTCTATAAGCCGTACTGTGTGTTTTGGATACCTGAGTGAGACGAAGAACTGCTGTGCTCTCACAATGTGTATTTAAAAGATTATTAAAAAAAAAAAAAAGAATCAGAAATACTATTAAAATTCAATAGCCGAGTTTCCCATAAATTTATAACCTGAGGAGTTCTTGGGGCTGAGGAGTTGGGGCTGTTAGAAATAAAACCATCATTCATAATTTTAGTTCTGGTAGAAACTCGAATTTAAAAAATAAATAAATAAAAAATCAATGTTTCCAAACATAAAAGGGCATGAGAATGACTTTCAAGCTTCCAAGAGGATGTTACACACAGCAGTGAATAAAAATAAAAGTACAAAGTGTAATATTTTACTTAGCAGCATCCTCCTGACAATAAAAATTCATCTTGCTTTGTAATAACTTCATACCAACGCGCTGAAATGTCTGTACACAAATGCCAGGAGTATCTGAAACAAGAGGAAGAAGGAGCAGGGTTAGGAAATGATAGAGGCTATTGACCTCATGGTTATAAATGAAACCTGGTGGAGTATTTCTCATAAATGGAACATAGATTGCAATCTGTATGGGAGAAGTAAAAAGTGATGCCATGGGGCAGAGGTGGTGGGATAAGTCAGACGTATTTACAAACCCAGCAAGCTGCAGTGATCTACAGAGGGTTGTGATTCTTTTGGGGAAGCATACAAAGAATAAAGAACAGAGTTAAAATGAGATGAGATTTTTCTTTCCATCCCACCTCGTCTGGAGGAGAAGAGCAACACAAGTGTGGGAGGAGGAAAGAGGAGAACTGCCTATTGTTTCAAAGGTTCATGCGGTGTTAATAACGTAACTCTCATCTGTCACACGAGTTACTCTCTTCTGTGCTGTTTTGATCGTCTGAATTTCTGAGCATCTGATTGCTGCAAGACGCAGTGAATAAATAAGAATGAGAGGGAAGAGTGGGAGGAAAAGGAAATAACCTAACCAAAAGTAAAGCTAAATAAAGAGGGTTTCTGCCACGCACTGAAGCCCATCCAATTCAAGCTCAGCTTGCCAGAAGTAGAGCCAGCTTTATCATTTTGGCATCAGTAACTTTGATTTTCAGACATGCCCAGATGAAACCCAAGTCTTGCAGTGCAGTGCAACTGGAATCTATGGCTCATTATACCCGAGTGGACGGGCCATTAGTCGCCCAGCTCTGTTTTTTGGTAGCTGACTTTGGACAGATGGCAGTTGTTATAATCCTTGGAGCAACTCTTCCTTCTCCTTGTTTTTCTCCTTGGACAAGATGTTGTGTTGAAGTGTTCATGCTTGAACAAGAACAGTAATGATGCTGGTAGCAATAGTGGGGTTTTATCTTATATCCTCACCTTATGTTGGGCCAACAGAATAGTTGGACCTCATGGTGATTCGATAACAGCATTGCTGAAAAAGCACGAGGAACCAATTTGATTTGGATACTGAGCTGACCTCAGCTCAACGTTCAAAAGCAACCAGTAAATTACAAGCACAATTGCTGTTGAGTAACAGTGAAAGTAACACTATCTGTCATGTTGAAATGATTCAGAATGCATCTTAACTGCAGTCATGGTTTGATCCTGTTTTCTATGGTGTCTGTGCTTCACTTTATAGGGTAACTTATTTTCCCAACATTTGGAGAAATTCCCTTTGCTTCTCACTGGTGGGAAAGTGTCAGAAAGAGCACAGGTTCAGGTCTTGGGTCTCTGCAGGCACCTTTCTGTCCCAGTCATGTGAGATGAAGTACCACTCAGAGCATCACCAAAGGCCTCAGAGAATGGCTGGGTCCAGAATTTTGGGGTCATTGCCAGAAAAAATAACCACCGACAAGTGGTGGTAGTGGCCCCATTTTCCTTCCTCACAAAAAGTGGGTAGCTTTCCCAGAAAAGCTTCCTTGGCTGTAAATGGGCCATTTGTAGACATAGCTGTCAGTGTTCACAAACCACAAGGCAGAGCTGGTCGGGTATAGGAAGTGTTTTGGAAAATCCTGAACAAGGGAATGTATGTTGGTGGCTTTTCAGTTTGGCTGGCAAAAAGCCCCTTTCCATAGATAAAAATTCAATAACATTTTCCTGTGGATGTGCCACAATTATCACTCATTTAAAAACAGTCTCACTAATAGAGTGTTTTATCATGCTGGGCAGTCTCTGCATTCTTCATTATTTAGTGTTTGCTAAGCTGATGGATCTTCCATAGCTCTTCCCTTATCTACAGTGCTACAGAATTGGATTTTATATTTTCTGAACCAGTCAGATATGACAAAGTAATTTTCTTTTTCTCTTGTCTTTTGAGGGAATACAAACTTCTTTTTTAAC